ATTTATTAATAAATAAAATTAAATATTAAAAAAATATATATATCAAAAGTTTATATCGAACCAATATAAACTTTATCTTATATTATGAAATCAAAATCGAAACATATATTTACATTTAACTCAAAACCACATACTTATATTTCTAAAATAAAATAACAACATACTATTACTTTTATAATAACACATCATATTTGTTCATAAAAATAAATATAGTTGTATAAGAAAAACAAAGATAAATCTTGAAAATTTCATCACATAAAACTTATAAAAAATGATGTTTTTATGCTTCAAATTTTGTTAGATAAAATATTGAAAACGAAAATATTTAATAATGTATTGTAGTTTCAATATTTTAGATAAAGTTTAGAAAACAAAAATTATCAATATATTAAATAAAATATATTTGCATGATGATTAAAATTTGTAAGTTTTAATTTTTTTTATTTATATAAAGGTTACAATTTCTGTGAGTACGCACATCATACTCGTGCACTAAGAAGGAACACGGAGGCCACCTAGTACATTGGGCGTACCCCTTGGTATGATGGGCGTACTAGGCTCAGTTTGCAAACCCTAATAATTTTGATGTCCTTATTTGAGGAACATGGTAACCTCATTTCTAGCCACTTATATCAGCCTCCAACCTTTCCTTAACCCTAAATCTTGAGTGTGTGCTTGTGGGTGTCATCCAACTTAAAGATCCAACATCCAACCTTGAATCAGGTGTGACAAAACAGCAGCATGATTAATGTACATGTTATTGGAGATGCACATCTTGGTGAGAGTCTAGTAATTAAAGACGTAATATATGTTCCTGAGTTCCATTTTAATATGATTTCCATTGGGCTTTAATAGCTGACAAAAGTTTATTTGTGGTTTTTCGTTGGAACGTTATTGTAGTTCAAGAGGAACTACCCATCAAGAGGATGATTGGCAGGGGTAATAAGCAAGTTGATCTATATATGTTAGATACGAAGAGTTTACATTCTATCACAATTTCACACAATGTCAATTTAGTTTCATTTGATGTGTGACATAAAAGATTTGGGCATCCTTTGGATGTCATACGTTCTTGTAAAAATGCATAATTGCCACATAAAGATTTGACTTCTGTTTCAAGTACTCCATGTATGGTTTGTCCAAAAGCTAAACAAAGAAAACTACCATTTGTTTCTTTGAATAATCTTTTAGAACATCCATTTGATCTTATACACTTTGACATATGGGGACTATACCATGACCCATCACACCAAGGACATAGATTCTTCGTAACAGTTATTAATCAAACATAAAAGTGATGTGCAAACCATTATTCCCAAGTTCTATAATATGATACTTTCTCAATTCAATGCCAAGATCAAAGCTTTTAGATCAGACAATGCTAAGGAATTACAATTTCATGATATTTTAGCGATAAGGGAATTCTTCACCAATTTTCATGTGTTGAGCGACAACAACAAAATTCTGTTGTTGAAAGGAAGCATCAACGTTTACTTAACAATGCAAGGGCGTTACATTTTCAGTCAAATGTCCCATTACATCTTTGGTCTGAGTGTGTTCTCACAATCACTTTCTTGATCAATAGAACTGTTGGATTAGGTGTCTAAGCCCATAACTATAATTGGGATGTACTTGACCCGATAGTAGCATGGTCCTTTTGGGTTGTCTTCACACTGGTGACTAGACAGTATGACTATTAAGGAGAGAGGCTGATTTATTGTTAAGAATAATAAATTAGGGCATAAATATGATTTATTAATATATTATAAGAATAATATATTAATTAGAAGTCATATTATTAATTAGTATTTAATCAGAAATTAATTTGGAATTAATTTTGGGATTAAAGAAAGTGATTGAAAGTGCAAGAGCGGTTTTCTAATTATTTGATAGTTGAGGCTTTGGGCCATTGGATCACGTTATTAAGCAAGGGCCGAAAATCCCTAGAAGGATCTAGGAATTTTCGTCCAACGCTAAAGGGTAGGAGGTCCATGGACTTGCTTAGGCCCTAAGCTAAGGAATTAGGGTTTCCACCCTAAAACCCTAGCTACCCTCAAGTATAAATAGACCCCCTAGGCTCTAGATTTTGAAAAAACGCCTTGTAGAAATCCTAGTAGAGCCGTTTTTGGAGGAATCTACCCTCTTTCCTCTTTCTAATATTCATCCTTTCACCTAGTGTGTTTGTGAGCCACTAGAGGTACTATATTTGTGGTACTTGTTCTCAAGATCAAATGAATTCAAGAAACTAGTTGTTATTACTACATAGCAACAAAGGTATTTATTCTATTCTTTGATTTGTATTTTTCGAAAATACTAGATGCATGCTAGGTTTCCTTTTGTGTTCATTTGTTGTATTTCTAATAGAGAAAACATAGATCCAAATTAGGATTGCATGCACACATATGATTGTTTGTATAAAACCCATCAAGAAAACTATCCAAGCTCCATGCACATAAGTCACCATTTCAAAAACTTTATAATAAAGCCATTGATTATTCTTCAATTAGAATATTTGGTTGTTTACCATTCACTACAACTCATTCTTTACAACGTACAAAGTTCGATTTAAGAGCAAAAACTTGTATTTTGTTAGTTATCCTTTGGGAATGAAAGCCTACAAACTCCATGACTTGGAAAACAACTCAATTCTTATTTCACGAGATGTGGTATTTCACGAAAACATTTTTCGGTTTCATATTTCTTCGAATAATGAATCTCTTGAGAATTTTCCACTTGTGGTTATTCCACGCATCCCTATCATTGAACCCTTAGACTCATCGCCTCTAATGGTATTTCTATATCAATTTTTTATTCACAACCGTCTATCGACCTTACTTCACATCTTGTCGAACCTGCTATCATACAAACTTCAAATGTACGACAGTCCACACGACCCCACCATCTACCTTCTTATTTTAGGGACTTCCATTGCAACCAGGCATCTCATACAAGAATTGATGACAAACCATACTCTATTTCAAAATACATATCATATGACAATTTATCTTTGCCATATAAAGCATATGTTCTAGCTTTATCATCTCATTTTGAACCTAAATTCTATCATGAATCAGTTTAACATCAAGTATGGAGAGATATAATGAAAGTTGAACTTAATGCTATGGAAGCCAATCTTACATGGAGTGTAGTTCCTTTACCTCCAGATAAACATAGTATATGATGTAGATGGATTTACAAGATTAAACAAACAACTAATGGCACTGTGGATCATTATAAAGCTAGGTTGGTTGCTAAGGGTTTCACCCAACAAGAAGGGGATGATTTTATAGACACTTATTCTCCCGTGGCCAAACTTGTTGCTATCAAAGTTCTCCTAACACTTACTGCTCAACGTTTTTGGCCTTTGATGCAACTAGATGTCAATAATGCACTCTTTAATGGAGATCTTGATGAAGAGGTTTATATGGATATTTCCATGGGATATCTCACTAAGGGGAGAAACAATCTAAGCCTAAACTTGTACGCAAGTTACATAAATCAATATATGGCTTATAACAAGAATCCAGACAATGGTATACCAAATTTTCTTCCTTTATTCTAACAGAAGGGTTTTCTCAGTCCAAAGCACTTGTTTTACAAAGGTACAAGCTCTACTTACATTGCACTACTTGTCTATGCTGATGACATTGTCATCACAGGTGCCTTTCTTTCGGAAAGCAAGACTTAGTACTCATTTTAAGCTTCAAGATCTAAGCTCATTGAAAGATTTTCTTAGTCTTGAAATAGCAGGTTCTAATACTATAATCTTTGTAAGTCTAAGACATTACACTCTTCAACTTCTTGAAGATGCAGGTCTTCTTGCTGCCAAACCAAAATCATGCCCAATGGATCCATGATTGCGATTGGCACATCATGAAGGAGAGATTCTTGTTGATCCATCTCCTTTTCGTAGGCATATTGGAAGATTAATATATTGAGCTATCACACGACCCGATATTACTTTTTCAGTTCAAAATCTTAGACAATTCATGAGTGCTCCTCATGTTAATCACATGCAAGCTACTACGTATTTGCTGAAGTATCTCAAAAATAGTCCAGGTCAAGGAATAATTTTATCTTCAAAATCTCCTCTACAACTTAAAGCCTTTGTGAAGTGGGAAGAGTTATTGATTCATCACTTCGGTTACTTTTTCTGATTCTGATTGGGCCACATGCCAGGATATTAGAAGGTCCATCACCAACTACTATGTTTTTCTCGAGGATTCCCTTGTATCTTGGCGTTCCAAGAATCAACCCATTGTCTCTAGATCATCCACTAAGGCGGAATATAGAGCAATGGCCTCTTCTACATGTGAACTTGTATGGCTTAAGCAATTACCTCATGATTTTGATATTACACATGATACTCCTGCACTTTTTTTTATTCCTGTGATAATACTTCTGCTATTCGCCTATCAACTATTCCAACATTTCATGAGCAAACCAAACATATTGAGGTTGATTGTCATTATATACATGACAAGGTGTTGGATAACATCGTCAAAGTTATGCCAATTCGTACTCACCTTCAACTAGGGGACATGTCTATAAAACCCTTACCACAATAAAAAATACTAACATTAATGTCCAAGCTGGCTCTCAAGGATATTTTTGGTCGCTCATCTTGTGGAGGAGTTTTACCCTTAGTTACTTAGTCCATATGTTAATATATGTGAGAATTAGAATTAGAATAGAACTAGAAGTTTGTTAGACTTTCTTTATTAGTCTAACTAGTTATCACTTGGTTACTTAGTCAATATGTCAAATGTATTTATCTATAAGTAGCATGTAATGCTTTCTGATTAATTCAATTAGAGATTTCAATTTCTCAATTTCTCAATTTGGTCTTCCTCACCTTTTATCCAAGTCTAACTTTCACAGACTTGTGTCATGTAATATAGGGTTTAGGGAAGGTATGGCATATAGCTATATTAAAGTTGCAAAAATAGTTTTAGACCTTACCTAAATCACAATCAGAAAAAAAAAAAAAAAAAAAAACTTCGCATATTAAGAAACTCAATAAGCATACGGAATTGATTAAAAAACAAGAGAAAGTGAAAGTAATGACTCAATGCAATTATTAATAAAACTCTAAAACCAATTTGCTACTTTTAGCCCATCCATCATGAACAAATAGTACTTTGATCATGCATCTTCATCACCTTTATCAGCATTCAATCCAAGGGGCCTAACATAGACCCCAATGGAACACAGACACGACTTGTAAACACTACCATGAAATCCCCCAAACGAAAACGCAGGCATGAACTTATACACAAACTGCGGATCCGAACTCCTAAGAGTACTTCCGTAGGGTCCATACGTACTCTTGTTGGTGCCAAATGTAATTGAACTCAATTTCTTTTTTCCATATTGACCACTTACACAAGTCAAATACTCCCCTTTTTGCTCATCAAACATCACCTGCAATTTTCAATTTCCGAAAGTAAAAACAGAATTCCGTTCAATGAAAGAAAAGTTAAAAGAGAGATGAGTATATAATATGGACATGGTAATTAATAATTAATTAATACTTACAATATCAAATTTTGAACCATAGGGTTTTCCATGAATTGCTGAAGGACGCATTACCCCATTTACAGCATACACAAACTGGATCGAATAGACCGTATTTTTTCCATATGAAATTAGAATTTGCATGAGGTTACTCTTGCCACCTTCATCCCATGTTGTTCCTTTCATTTTTTTGGGACCCAACTTCAAAGTTTGTTCCATTTGACAGCTTGTAAAAGATGCTCGAGGTTCAATTTCAAAACCCTGAAGAACGCATGGGGAAGTTATTAGCATTCATATATGTAACTTTCGGTCCAAGTTTTTTATTTCGTTAAATTGGCGAATCATAATCATTGGGTCAACGCAAGATAGTAACCGAATCACAAAATACAAAAGACGTATATAAAATCCAAATCGTAGTGGATGTTTAATGGAACCTAAGAAATTCTTCAACCAAAATTAGAAATCGAAGTTGCTAGAAAATGAAACCACCGGTGTAATACATAATCTAGCCATCCAGGGTATTCAAATGTCATCGAATCCAACTCCATTAAACACACATGAAACAAGAGCAGTGTTTGGATTATAAGAACCAAAATAAAATGGATTGGAAATATCGATTGTGGCAGATTGAGGGGATGAATTGCTGGATGCAGACATGATTCCGATTTCCGAAGATGAAACAAAGAGAAAATCAACAAAAAAAGACGAACAAGATGAATGATTGTGGAAGAATGGATCTCTAGACTTATACCATATTAGATTTGAAACTAATGAAGAATTAAAAAAGAAACTTTTCTTCTCATTACATTGAAATGAAAAACAGAGCATAAGTTCAAAGCAACAGAAATACCTTTCATGGTGATAACTAACTTTGTGGTCATGGTGATATACTTATGATATACAAACTGGATTGAAAACACATCACATGAGAAGGACTATGTGATGTCTTTCGAGTCCAGTTTCTTTAGATTTACGGATTAAATAAAAACTATGAAATTTGAATTTGTCAGCTTTTGCCCTTTTCATCCCAAATAGTCCCTTTCATTTCTTTAGGACTCAACTTCACCATATTTTCCATTGTTGAACTATTAGAGAAGTCACTTCGTGAACAATGTTGATTCCCAGCCGTTGATTAAAAGGCGAAATGACAAAGCCGTTGACAAATGTATTAAGTTGATTCTTGAAAATAACTAAGTCATTGCCATATGAAATTTTCAATAGTTTATTAGATTTAGAAATTTATACATTTTCTTAGACTAAATACATTATGATCTGCCGATTTCTATACTCAAATTAGACAGCTGTTAATGAATTTGTGGATCTGGATCATCAAATTATTATTATAATAATAAGAAGAAGAAGAACTGTAGTTCAAGTAATGTAGATTCATAATCGCGTAGTAATACATAACAAAAACAACGTCAATTACTGTAAAGTTTGAAATTTTGAATTTTAATAATCAGGTTAAAGCACTTATAAACTTACTTGACTAAAATGTTGAATTGCACTGGGCAATCACGACGAGAGTGCGAGATAAAGAGTTCAGACGGATGCGAATAGTGATAGCCTCTTCAAGCTGGATAGAAAATAAGAGGCGACTTAGCGACGTGAGAGTTGACTTGAGAGAATAAGTCTAAAACTGGAAGAAACTCACAAATTCCCAACTTAATTAATTCATTAAAACAGGAATCAGATTGTTAAACATTATACGAATACATGAAAACTGAAAATCTTGCTACAAGAACAATCAGTCTCTCAAGTCTCAATTTTATAGAATACAAGTAAACGGCTTACAGAGAGAAAATGAGAGATCTACACCTAACCTCTGTGGGTATTGTTCTCTGAAACCATACGGAAGTCTTTTTATATACAGCTACACAAAATATCTCTATTTACCAGAAGCCCCAATATTAATTGAAATGTTGCACTTTCTATCCATTTTATTAGTACCTGCATAGTAACAAAATAAATAATAAAAGCCAACTATAACAAACTATTGAATGTTTTATGTTAAGTTTGTAATAATAAAAAACATCATTTCTCAACACCAACTCTCAAACTTAATATATTATCATCATGTTTTAAAAGAGATTCTAATAAGCCAAGTCGATTTGTTAAAAAATTATGTTGAGTGTAAATCAAAGATTTTGTAAAGATATCTACATTTTGAAAAGTTGAACTAATTTGCAAATTAAATCTCCAAAATTCCATCCATAACCTTTTCTCTAACAAAACATAAATCTACTTCCAAAATGTTTTGTTTTTACATGAAAAAAATAATATTTAAAACTAACTTTGTTACAGAATAATTATCACAAAAGACATAACCAGGAGTTAGATTCTCAATATGTAAATGTTTAAAAGGGGAAAATGTCACTTTAACACAATAAACTTTTATGGTTTGTCCGATTAGGTCACTAAGTTTTTTTTTCTTGCTTAATAGACCATTAAATTCATTTTTAACCTGTGAATTAAGCAATTTTGTTGGAATTCAACAGGTTACCCGGTAGCAAAAATGTTGATGTGGCATTAATAATTAAATTTTTATTGCCATGTCATTAAAATAACTAAACAAGTTAGCCACCCTTTTTCCTATCTGTATTCTCACTTCTTTCTTTCTCCATCATCTTTAATAAACATCATTGCTATCCTCCACCTTCTTCACTGGGAACCACCATCCAACCATCAAATCCAACACAATCACCAGAGTATTCTCCTTCCCCCATTCCTGATTATAGCTTCAATTCGCCACTAAAAAACCACCTTATCAGCACTTTCCAGTGTCTTCATCTTCACCATCACACATCCAAACATGATCCTTATTCCTCATTTCAATCCATTACCAAACCACAAACCATTCTCCATCTCCACTCTATAAAACCTGTAAGAAATACATCTACGATCAATTAGCCACCATAACAAAGATGGAACCAAATACATGCCCTATCTCCATCCCCTTGATTACTATGATTTATCCGTCACCATTATCCTTTACAACCGATTACCCTCGTCCGACCACTAGGGGATATTTGTTCATACGCAACCATCATCACTAACCCTTACCCATGCAAAAAAAGAAAAGACATAAACAAAATAAGAACACCGAATACATAGTTGCACACACAATGGGGTGAGAGGCTAGCCTTATTGTTCAATTTTTTTACCTGCACTTCGATCCAACAAATCAACAAAAATATCCCAAAGGAAGAGAGAGGGGTGCGTGAAGAAGAAGCATAGGAAGAGATGGCACCCACTTCGAGTCTCATAGGACTCGACCAATTACCATATTTTGATCTATCATCGAGTCCAAAAACGGTAAAGAAAACAGAGCTCTGATGATCAACATCTGAAAGTGTTCCCAGAGATCTATTTCACTTAGAATCGAGAATGCTTCCAAAGACATCAATTTTGACTTTAATGCTCACATCTTTGACTTTTCTTGAACATCTATACCAATTCACGCGCCAAATATGTTCATTTGAGTAAAAAAATTAAAAATAATAATATGATTGACCAAAATGACACATTGATGCGAATTCACCCATATGACCGGGTGACCCCTTCATCATGGTGATATTCCCCTTTTTAACACCAAATTTGAAACTTTAATGACTTAGAATGCACAAAAAAAAACTTGAGTGATCAAATAAAATAAATTTAAAAAGTTTGCTGAGCTATACTGATATTAATCCTTCCACTTATTACATTTCCACTTGTTACATTTCCATGTATTTAGATTTAGTAGATGATCAGGGTATAGTACTCTATTTTTTAATTCTCTAAGAAACAAGAGAGTTTTCAAAATGTAACATCCGAAAAATACAACCAATTTAAATTTTTCCAAAACAACCCGATTTTCATTTAAATGTTTACAAAATTGTTTTCAATACAATTTATTAGAGTATTCCCAGAATACATTGTTACAAAATCATGAGGAGCGGTACGATCGCGCCTTCGCCTTGCCACGGTATCCTGAAGAACCTGAAAAACATTAAACCACAACTGTAAGCCCGAAAGCTTAGTGAGATACCCCCAAAATACCAACCACGCATACGCCCTTCCAGACTGCGACCCTCCAGTCCAAAACATACAAAACATACATAACATAACAGAACATAGAACAGCCATACATATCGGGTCAACTGTGTGACTGGTCCGCCGCATCGGGCCTTCAGTCCACCGGATTCATCCTCCAGGTCTAGTCATGTCCTTCGAGTCTACAGTGGGGTTGGTCCGCCCGCATCGGGCCTTCAACCCACCTGGTCCACTCTCTGAGTCTATAGTGTGACTGGTCCGCCCGCATCGGGCCTTCAGTCGACCTGGTCCACTCTCCGAGCCTCGGCACGTCTGGTCCGCCCTCGTGGGGCCTACAGCCTATCCGGACCGCTCGATGGGCCTTCAGAACAACCGGTCCGCCCTGGGTATCTTGGCCTACAGCACAAAGCAGGACCCGCCTCAACCCATCTCCAGTTCAAACAACCATGTGCACAAAACATACATTCATATAACAGTCATAATCAACAAATCGAGCAGGCAGATCACATAGCATATCATTACCCTAACCGGGTTACCGACCTAACCGATCACTAGCATAGCATCACTCTGTATATCGGGAAACTGACCTTAACAAGGTCTCCTAGCATGTACCATCCTAGCTACCAGGATACAAACACATCAAACAATAACAGAATAACCATATCCGAATCTCAATCCAATAAAGGGCCGGCCTTGGTGTCTTAGACCCTGTTGACATAGTGAGGATAACTCACCTCGAAACTGTCGGCTGAAAGGATAAGATCCCGCTGCTCCGAACTCTGACACGAACTCCTCCACTGAACATCAAAACATACAACTCAATAAATACCCTTAATTACCAAAATACCCCTGGAAGACAAATGGTCAACCTTGGATAAGTCAAGGTCAACCCCTGACTGACCCTACTCGTCGAGTCAACCTGATGACTCGCCGAGTTCACATGCTCAGGACTTCCTTCAATCAGCGACCCAACTCGCCGAGTCACCCCAAGACTCGTTGAGTCCAACAACTCTGAGTCCACTCGCACCCAACTCACCGAGTCATCCCTTGACTCACCGATTCCTCGACTCAACCAGAAATATTGGGACTTCCTCGACAAGACTCGCCGAGTCCAAATAGACTCGTCGAGTCCAAGGCTATCTTCAACCTACTCGCCGAGTTGTTCTTCCAACTCGTCAAGTTCCAGACCATCTTCAAGCAACTCGTCGAGTCGCCCCATGTGACTCGACGAGTACCACCGATCTGAATCCATACAGAAGCATCTCAGGCCATGCAATTGATCCAAAACATAGATCCAACCTCCTACAATCCATCCATCACGTAAAGTGGCAAACTTTACGTGAATCTAAGGAGATCTAAGCCTTATTCACCTTAGAACCAAGGTTTGGGACATGGTGGCTTCACTAAGCACTCAAACACAGGAGCTTTAATGCACTCTAGGCCTTCAATATTCCAGATCTGAGGTAGCAACCTCAGATCTAACCTCCAAACTCCAAAACATTCCAAGATATACTCCCCACAAACCCCAAAATGATGAAAGTAGGAAGATACAGCCCAAGAACGAAAGTGTTACCTCCAAAAGGTGCCTCAACAGCAACCAAACTCGAATCCAAGCAAAGCCCTTTGATCCAAGCCACTTCTCCTTTAAGATCTCTTCAAACAACACCTCTCCAAGCTGTAATTTGCTCAATAATGGGACTCTCCACGAATTTAGGGTTTCTGGAACTCAAGGGGGGGGGGGGATAAGGGAGGCTGTGGAGGGGTATAATGCTCTTTATATAGGGCTCAAGCCCGAAAATTAGGGTTTTCTCCACACAGCACCTACTCGCCGAGTCCATCTTTGGACTCGCCGAGTAGGCCACTTGACACGCGAACATAGCCGCGACCTGACTCGCCGAGTCTATCCATGGACTCGCCGAGTCACCCTTAGAAACTTACACTTTTAGCCCTTCGACTCTACTATTGCGATTCCGGGATGTTACAATTCTCCCCCACTTAGATTAGGCTTCGTCCTCGAAGCCTACGACATTTCATCTTCAAATTACTTCTCACGACGCGCCACCTGACCTTGACCGAACCAAGTCCCTCAAGGTACAATCATAGAATCCTGAAGCTCACTTTCTCCTTCCATACGGTGTCCCCATCACCTACTCAAACTGGGCACAATGGTACCCTCCGATAACCACACTCAACAACCGAGAATTACCCATGATGCCTTACTGCTCCAATTCTCATCTTTCACTTGACTCATATGGCTATAAAGCCACGAACCCTCGGATCCCCGATCCGAATCCCACTCTAACCATCCTACGACGACCGAAAGACCCATTCTTCCATTCCGGAGCAACTCCCCCGAGTTCTCCTCTCGCAATCACACACACATGCTGAACTAGCTCTAGCACCCTCAGGTTTGGAAAACCCGATACACTGATGGTATCCTCAACATCCTTCCAGGACTAACCGCTGATACATACCCAAAACCCTGATCAGAATCTCACTGAGAGTCCAAGACTCTTTCTCTGTATCCCTTCCGAACCCCTCTCCCTGGCTCTACGCCGCGGTATTCCCTCCGCGCCCTGAGCAACATATCAAGTCGAATGAACTTTTATTCTACCGCCGCAACACGCTACTCAAAGACCATCGACGGACCACTCTAATCATAACTCTACACTGCCGCTTTCACTTCCGTGAATTCGCACTCCCTTTTGGAATTTCATTCCTCCTTCTTTCCTTACCAAGGAAACCACTCGTCCGCCCAGTCACCATGACAGGCACTATGGTGCTCATCCCATGCTACATTACCTTTTTAAAGCGTACCCGACATCCATGCATCACCACCACTCTGAATCTCATCGCAGGGACTCTCAAGCCCATGCACTACCTTCACTGTTCAAGATCGCTACCCGGGGCCAGACCTCCCAATGTAACCACACTGCAACATACGCAACCCATAACCTCGAACCGATCCAACAATACTCGCAGAGTCTTCAGCATGACTGGACCGCCTCCCCAGGCCTTCAGCCAATCTGGACCACTCTCAGAACCTTCAGCCAATCTGACTAGACCGTCCTCCGAGCCTTCGGCCTAACTGGTACGCCTACCGGCCTTCAGCCTATCCGGACCGCTCAACTAACATTCATCATTCCGAACTATCCCTTCGGGAAATCCTCCCGTGCATACCGCTCTAGCCCTCTAGCGGTTCCGAACTCTATCTCCATCATACATACTCGATCCCGACCTACTCCCAGGCCTTCCGCAATTAAATGCCCTAGGTCTGTATTCCGCCCCGCACGCCTGTTACTCACCCATACGTGCCTGCTCTCGACTGATAGAAATATCGCTGAATTCCCCAAGTAGCTAAACAACCTCTCAAGCCCAACGATCATCCGGAGAATTTCCAATTCTCCCCCACTTAAGACACTGACAAATAAATCACCGGTCGCCATCACCGATCTCCCAAATCAACCTTGCAGAAAATCAACAATTACACGCAAAATGTTTCTCACCAGCACTAACAACTTTCATAAAAATCATGTTTCCACACTGAACAACCCGCTCGAAAGGAACCCAATCTTCCAATATCCATTCCTCAGACTGCAGAATCTACCCGGCCTTCAAACCAACACCGCATCCGCCATCAATCCTCACAAAGATAATCAACGATAGCTCGAAGCACTAATCCATAACCATA